AACCAATAATCCTACACGCTTTTCTTCATTTGAAAAATTCATATTTACAATTTTTGTTTATTTTAATTTACAAAATTTGGATGGGACAGATTCGCATTTATTAGAGCAAAGACGATTAAACTTGTTTCCATGGCTAACTAAGTGAAATTGTTTAAAAATGGTAAGAATTGGCTATAACTCAGTAATTTTTCGAAGAAAACATATTATAGCTTATATCGCTGAAAAGCTTAAAATATGGCGCTTCTTGTGACGTCATGGCCAACTATGGTTTCCATTTAAAAAAACATATGTTCGTATCATATGTCAAAAATGACAGGCTTTAGAAAAAAACGGAGGACACACTCTCATTAAGAATGTGATTTTCTACAACTTTTATCTGAAAACATTTTGTCTAAAATAGCTTATAATGGAATTAGGAACAACTTATAAAATAGCCGAAATTTGTTTTTTTTCGAAATATCTAGTAAGCCATGAACTTGTTAAAAAATCTGAAAGGCGCATATTTATGACCCCACAAAACTTCAATTCTTTCCCCATTTAACCGACTCTCTATCTCCAGTAGTTTCCGAGATACCCATAGAGAACATCGTAGGAAACTCACCCTGTATACATGTGGCAACCACGCTAACTGAATTATTCAAACTCACTGCTAGCATTCACGCCATTCGCTAGTAAAAGTTGGTTCCAAAAATCGCTGTTCAACTTTTACTGGCGTAGTCTCAGGTCTTAGCAAATCAGTGAATGGTGAGCTTTTACTAGTAATTGTTAACAATCACTGATTTCCAACTTTTACTGTAACATATTCTTACTTTATTTAATTTAATTTAAGCAGATAATTTTGCTTTCCATCGTGTTATCTTAAACTGCACTGAAAATGGACTTGTGCAGTTTTTAGATATCACTTGTGTCAATCAGAGTAATTTATTTTTTTATGCACTTGTTGAATAATTTCACACACAGACACTAGCGTGGAATAACCAAAATTTGACTTTGTGTGAATTATTCGATTGTTTGATTACTTATTAAAAAGTTAAATAATGTATTTTTTACCTGGTTTATGAAAATAAGTACAGAATATATTATATTTTTAAAAAGCTGATAACAAGGCAAATGAAATAGAAATAATAATATACAAACGCTGTTATTTATGAATCTGTAGTTTTACGCACATCACAAACACAAAAACGAGCATAGGTCAGAAATAAACTACTCAAAATAATTATCACATATTTTCTAAAAAAAATATTAATAATAAGACACTTGAATTCCCTGACTTACGATCTTAAATAGTATGGACACTGTAAAGGGAAATTCGATACAATAAGCCTATGCGCTGACCTGTAATTTTTAGTCGGCCGACTATCTGATTGCATGTGAGCGCGGCTCCATAAGGATATATCAGTTACAAGTGTACAACTAAATAGTCGGCCGATTAAAAATTGCTTGTCAGCGCATAGCCTCAGGCTACGCAATGTAATCAAATATTGGGCCGTTCGGCTCCATAAGAATGTATTGTTTTCACTTTTGCAACTAAATAATCGGCCGACTAAAAATTACATGTCAGTGCGTACCCTAATTATCCTAAAAAACTGACAAGAGAAAGGCAGAAAAATGCATGCTTCATTTAGAAATATGTACCTAATAATTACTTTTATTCAAATATATGCGATCATTGTTTTGAGTAGTGTACTTATGACTTGTATTTTTGCTGCAATATAAAACTTCGACGTTTGGATTTGTATTTTATTCATTATTTATAGCATACTCCTTAACTCCGAGTATCATCAGATCTTATTTATAAAATAAATGGGATGACATATTTTTGATTATAATAATTTCGACAATAATTTATTACTTAGTCGAGTTTTACACTATGCGTTTTTGCCGCATCACGATTCGCTCCCACAATTTCGGTAATATTTGGTAATATCGGTAATAGGACCTAACATATGTGTATCGTATGAGATTTTGCCATGATTACGAGTATAATGAAAAATAATATACAGGGTTATTCATCACATATGACAAGATAAGTATTGTAGTGATGTCCAAATAATTGGATTTTTTGAAACTGTGAGTGATGGGATCGTTGGAGGACTACTAAAGCTACAATTTAAAATTATCTTAAAAAGTTACCAAGTGTCCCAAATAAAGAAAAAATATCTATATAATATATAAAAGTTGTATTTTTTTAAATGTAACACCCTGTATGTTATAACACTTTTAGTTTCTACGATTAAAATAATGGTTTACCCCACTTAAACCTTACCGTTTTTGAAATATTTTCAATTTTGTGAAAATGCGGTAGCAATTTTAATTATTCATTTCTCTAGGCGTGTTTAAGTTTTTCAAACCAAATATTGTACTGAAGTTTTTCTATTTATTTGAATTTTGTGTTGTGTTGCAACTTTGATATTTTTTCTTTATTTGGGACACTCTGTACCTTTTGAAAATAATTTTAAATTGTAGCTTTAGTAGACCTCCAACGATCCCATAACTAACAATTTTTAAAAATCAAATCATTTGGCTACAATACTTCGTGTCGTATGTGGCGAATAACCCTAGTAGCTTTCTAGTAGACCCTATAATAGACTAGTTAAAGCCTGGCGCATCCGCCACGACATCAGGAAAAAAATACTTTTTAGTCTTTGTTTAATTAAATAAAAAACAGAAAATCCCGCGACGACAGTTTTTAGAAGAGCCAATTAGCTATCTTTTAGTAAAAAAAGCAACTTTCTAGAGCCAGTCGTTACTTCAGTAGAGACGACACAGATAAACATTAGCATTTTATACAGGGTGCTACAAATTCGAGGTACGAGCATTGATGTCTCGGCAACCGTAATAGATACGAACATGGTTAAATTGGGGCAAAGTGGCGCTTTAGGATGTTCACCAAGATGCCATCAAAAAAGTTTTAAAAATTTCTAGGATTGCTGAGTTTTTTGGAAAAAACTGATTTTTTTGAAAATCAATTTTATTTTTTCCTGTCGTTTCTTTTTAGAAAATCAAAAAACTAATTGCACATTCTCGTAGCCACTTTATTAGGGCTATCTGATAGTATTTTTAGATTTTCAAATTAGCTGATAATTTGTGAGATACACAGGCCAGCTTAATTTTTTTAAATACGGACCTGCATTTTTTATTTCAGATTTTGAAAGAACTCGGTCTCCTGAGTACAATGATATGCCACACTTAATTTTTTTTTTTTGTTTTGACATTTGAACACAATTTATTTAAACTAATTTCATGTCCGGCTCTGCTGTTTTTTAAATATTTAATCTATTCATCGTTACAATATTGATTAGCATTCAAACTTAACAATGACGTGGGGTAAACCATTGAATACGGAAAATAATTAATATAAATATAATATAGTATAAACAATCAAATCATTTTCCTGCGAAGATGGACTGGAAATGGTAGAGCAGTAAAATGTCCAGCGAGGTTCCTGGACCTATCGCCAAGAGGCTACATTACCTGACGTCATTTGAAGAGTACAAAATGCATTCGGAAGTATAAGAAGAAAGTTCAAGAGCTATAAATAAAATTGAACAAAAAATAAATTTGCGCAATAGGGAGGGTGGTAACCATAGTGGTAACTCTTTCGAACATGTAGAACATTAGAGACTATAGTAAACGCCACGAATGTTTGGGAGTGATTTATCGCTTGATGAAGTTAGAATCGACACGCGCGCTATCATTTTTACATTAAAAACGTAAATTTTTACCGCAGACGTAGGTTTTTAAAGGCCCGGTCTAATCATCTGCCTGCACTCTTCCTACTTATTCTAAAATGTTAGCGTGATTGACAAAGACGATACTATATCGCGTTTCTTTCATTGATTCGTTTTTTTGCGTCAGTCCATTGGTGTGCTTGCAGTGCGACCAATGGGGCATTCCATTTTATATTTATAACCAAATATATGTTTTGACAAGATTTTGATAGTTAAAACAACAAATTACAACTGATTATATATTGATTATTGTATGACTTGAAACACCGCGGCACTGGAATTAAGTTTTATGTGACCTTGAACAGATTAGTTCACATGGTAGCGACCGATGAATCGCTCCCAAACATTCGTGGCGTTTACTATAGTTTGTAGAAGTTGATTTATTTATAATAACTACGATTACTATTATACATATTATTAGATCGCACACTGGTATTTCAAATTCACAATAAAAAAAAGTTAAAAATAACATCTTTAAATTTCTGACCTGGTTGTTATTTATTTGAATCTTCCAATTGGCTCGATTTTCCTTATTTAATGTTAATTAGCGCGTTGTATTAAATGTTAATATTAATTATTAATATATTGTTGCGATGAATATAATCAGATTTCATAACTTAAGGAACCAGAGTCGGACTGAAATTATTTTTAATAATTAAATAGTTTTGTTGTTGTTAAGGTACCCAAAACAAAAAAAGTATAAAGTGTGGCATATAATTGTATTTAGGAGACCGAGTTCTTTCAAAACCTGAAATAAAAAATGCAGGTTCGTATTTAAAAAAATTAAGTTGGCCTCTGTATCTCACAAATTATCAGTTAATTTGAAAATCTAAAAATACTATCAGATAGCCCTAATAAAGTGGCTACGCGAATGTGCCATTAGTTTTTTTGATTTTCTAAAAAGTAACGACAGGAAAAAATAAAATTGATATTCAAAAAAATCATTTTTTTTCCAAAAAACTCAGCAATCCTTGAAATTTTTAAAACTTTTTTGATGGCATCTTGGTGAACATCCCAATACCTACGCAACTTTGCCCTAATTTAACCATGTTCATATCTATTACGTTACCGAGATACCAATGGTCGTACCTCGAATTTGTAGCACCCTGTATATGTAGATTAGATAAATTACAACAGTTTTAATTTCCATATCACCTCTAATGCCGTTATGTTCGATCGTTTGATATTATATGGACTGTGATGAAGAACGCCTTTCATTTGTACCCTTCTTTTGGAAGTATGGCTTATTCAAACTTTTTCTTACAGTTCTTCATAACAAGTATGATGCCACAAAATCTTCTACGTACAAGGAAAATGGAACCGAATTTGCAATTACATATGGTTCTGGCAGCCTTTCTGGATATTTGTCTACTGACTCCCTTAGTGTATGTATATTTATATTTTTGAACAATGTAGAAATACATGCATGTTAAATTTATCTTTAAATCTTTTAGGTCGGTTCTGTTCAAGTGAGAGATCAAACTTTTGGAGAAGCTATTAAAGAGCCTGGCTTAACGTTTATTGCTGCCAAATTTGATGGTATTCTCGGCATGGCTTATCCTCGAATTTCTGTCGATGGAGTTACTCCAGTATTTTATAACATGATTAATCAAAATTTGGTTGCTGCACCTATATTTAGTTTTTATCTGAACAGGTAAAGATATAATATTAAAATTTTATATAATGGCTTATACAGCGTCACAGATAAAGACTGTTCAGCCATCGTTCACCGTTATCATTATTTGTCAAAAAGGAGTTTTAGGGTGTGTCTGAGATCAGTTTATATTGTTTAGAGAATTTTAAGTACGTTCCTATATTATTGATAGAGCGAGTTCCGTTTTTTGGGCATTTATTCATTTTTTCAACTCTTCATCAGTTCAATCCCTTTAATTCCAATTCTTTGGACTGTTGAAATTCCTATTACTAAAGCATCAGCAACTCGCTATATTATTTAAAAACGCCATCAGTTTGTATTTTACATAGGAATTACACCTTTGCATTATACTTACTTCATATACGGCGTCCACGAGCAAGAATGTTCTACTAGCATCTCTTTCATGAGAAAAAATATTTATAAACTTAGCAATAAACTCTTGTTCGTTTTGGTTAAATCTTTAAGGCATTTTTTGCAATAAAAAAAAATTAATTTTGTTTTACAGCAACAATCAAATTTTAATTTTGACATTGATCGATGTCAATAAAATTATAACCTCAAATCAAATGACAATGACAATTACTAAAAAGAATATAGACGACACTAAGGGCGGATTTATCCAATTTCTTAATTGCTATTCCTTAATTCTTATTTCTTAGTCTGTAATTTGTAATTCTTAATACACAATTCTTTATTCCTTTTTTTAGAGACAGTTAACCAATGTCTTAATCCTTATTTCTTAATTCTTAAAACTGACACTAGTAGATCAAATCAAATCGTTTTTGTTTCGCTGTGTTATTGTGTGCAATGAGGTCCATACAAAAAATTGCAGCACTTTCGGGTTTGTTTATAACCACGGCTTGTTGTGTCGCTACTCTCGTGAATCGCCACCGAGGTTGTAGGTGATTTGGGGTTCGCCCCATGAATAGAAGAAAGGACATGGAAGGCAATTTTGGAACTCTAATACAAGATATGCCTTCCTTGGAATGGGACGAACAACAGTTCACAAAATACACACAAAATTAACATTTCAGAATTTCACGTATGCGCATCTACACGTTTTCCTTAATCGCTAAAAAGTTAAAAGTTGGGAACTTTCAAAATAAAGAATTACGAACCGTGGTTAAGAATTAAGGATTAAGACATTGTATAACCAAACTAACTGCATAACACGTATTTTATCTTTTTATAATTTAGCGAATAAGAAATAAGAATTAAGGAATAGCAATTAAGGAATTGGGTAAATCCGCCCTAAAACTCACCAAAACCTCGGAAGCATTCGGATCTTACACGGAGAGTTCGGTTTTGTTCGGCGAGAAGCGCTTTGCGGGAATTTTGAACATTATGAATAATCGAGAATCGAACAGTAATCACAGACAATAATTTTATTATGCGAAATTGTTAACAGTAGTTGACTGTTTTGGTTGTCATTTTGTTTTTTATAGTTTTTGACTATTTTTAGAAATATGGCTATATTTAAAAATTGATCTATATCTGGCTGATATTTGGTAATATACCTATAAAGCCTAGTGATTAGCCTTACTAAAGTGATTTTAGTCAAAGTTGCATTGATTATTGGTGTAAATTAAAAATTGTTTCATTTGCAGATTGCATAATCACTATCTAATTTGATGCATAAGTGAGAACCATAGCTTTACTTGGAGAGAGCTCACTATTCTCAAACTGGTTGAAGCCTGGCGCATCCGCCACGACATCAGAAAAAAATACTTTTTATTTTTTTTTAATTAAATGAAAAACAAAAAGTCCGGCGACGACAGTTTTTAGAAGAGTCAATTAGCTATCTTTTAGTAAAAATAGCAACTTTCTAGAGCAAGTCATTACTTCAGTAGAGACGACACAGATAAACATTAGCATTTTATATATGTAGATTCTACTCTCAAATCTTTTATTAAAATATCAGTTCTTAAATTGAATCACATTTTCATGGGGAAATAAACATTTTGGGAAAATTTGTTAGCTTAATTACTGTAACATATTAGAAATAAAAAAACATTTATAGTTCTAATAATCACAGACTTTATTAGAATGTTGCAGTTTCTTATCAGAAACTTATGGCTGTTCTATGTCAAGAAAATACAGTAATTACAACAATACAATACAATAATTTTAACAATAAACAATACCACATTATACAGGTTAGTAGCATAAGTAGTACAAAATAAATATAAAACCCTTAACCAACAGTCAATACATATTTACTTAAGTAAGACCAAAAACAAACGAAATAAAGCCTTAAACCAATAACCTCTTTCACTTTGTTGGGAATAATTCTTGCTTATCCATTTTCCTTTTATGGCTCATTATATGGTCTTTTTACTGAACTATATCTAACCCAATCTATTTTACCTATGATTACGATAATAATTGTAAGTTTTTTTTCCACATACTCATTATATTTTCTTGGCGAATGCATAATTTATCTTGATCTTCTGTTTTTCATACCACAGTTTATAGCTTTCCTTAGTATCAAAGTCATAGGCAAAGTTATGTGTTTCCATTTCCAATTTTACTTCATGGTGTTTACCTTCAAATGTTGTTGCAATATACGGCAACTTCCACAAACTATATACAGACTACCATATTTAGAGTACACAGTGGGCAAATAATACGTTTCTTCTTATTATAGTGTTTTCACAAAATTAAGTGAAACAATACAAATTAAAAAATAATCCAGTCTGTAATATTAATTATCAAAGTTCTATGAATCGCTGGATCCCCAAAACGCATTCACAAATTGTAAATCTTCTTTAAATGCTTTTAGTAGGTATTTTTTGTATTATTTTGAGTTTTTAACTTTGTTTTTAAATAGGGCCATATTTACTCTGATAATTATAAAAGTGCCGTTGTTTACAAAGTCCATCAACGGCAAAGTTCAGCTGAGTTTGACGTATACCGCGGTTGCGCGGTTCAGCTTCCGAGTATTTTGTCCTTAGAGAAGGAAAGAGAGACTCTCTTTCCTTGTCTAGGGTATGGTGAGTTTTAGTGTCGTCTAAAGAATATGCAGTAATTTACAAAATGCCATAATGGCGACACCAATTTCTTTCATCTGGCTGGCAAGTGATTGAGAGGGTTCGACAATATATGACGTGACGTTAGAGTTCACGTAGTCCGCATCATATGAGATTTTAATTATCTGATATTTAAACGAAATTTCATTATAGAACTTGACCTGCTCCTCTCAGGTATCTGTTCAAATTTGGCATTTACAGTAATAGTGTGGTAATAGGTTAGTGGGTTTAAAACAGTTTCAAATAGTTTAAAACAGGGGTTTTAAACTATTTGAAATAGTTATTAATTTTTGATTTTACATTACTACACCGATTTTCAATCATCGAGTTGATATTTTTTTGCTTTTTTTATTGATTAGCAGCTGTCTCTCGGTCAAATATTTGTCTAGTAAAAATATATTTAGTGAAATTTATTGATTCAATAATTAATAGTTTAAAAAAATAGTTAAGGGGTGTAAAGTATGAATAACTTCGCCACTTAGCGAGATGACATCCTGAAATTTAGATTTGTACACCCTGGAAACACATTTGCACATATTTGCACAATACTTAATGTCAAAATGTGTTTTTCATAGCCTACTTATAAAATTGATTTCTTTATAAATTTCTCTTATGCGTTTCTAATCAGATTAAAAATATAAATATAAACAACGCTTTATTGTACAAAAAGCCAAAATAGCTTCATCGACAAAGCATTTGCAAAATAAACAAAAGCACAAAAAAATATACTGATAATAAAAAATATCATACAATACAAATCAATTCAGAAAAATTTACGTCATTAATTTGTTAATAACTCTGTCGCAAATAGTTTCTGAAAAAAAAATATTTTTTTTAAAAGGTCCGATTAAATTTATATCTCCGAAACTAAAGTTTCAAAAAAAGTCATACTATACCAGAAATTAATTTACCCAGTAGTAGTTATAAAAAGCATTTTTGGTAAACTCTGTCTCAAATAGTTTCTGAAGTTAAATAATTAAATTAGTTTAAATATTTCTCTTAGTTAAATAATTAAATTGTTAAATATTATAATTTTTTTTAATTAATTTACTACTATATCGGGTCTTATTTTTTAAAAGATGAGTGAGGGAAAAAGTATATAGGAATGTGTCACCACGGTAAATGTCATCACACATGATAGAAAACTTTTATAGAAATAAATTTTTTTATAGAAATAGTTACAAGAAAATAATTAAACAATGGGTAATTAATACGGGAAGACAAGTATTTCACAATGTTATCGAAAATAAGAACTAAAAAAGAAAATATTGCAATCTCTAATTGTGATCTAATAATAATGATAACTCTAATAATGGTTTTCTTTTGCGATTAAAGTGATCTGTTGCTTTTTTTTGTGTGTATTGTTGTTTTTTATTTGATTTTATTTTATTTGTATGTATTTACTTTTTAAGATTTCAGTATGTCACACACAAACCAGCCTTGTGCAGGTTTCTGTGACCACCACCTGTGTTTTATTGTTGAAAAAATGTCAGTTTTGTGGAAAATGAAAAAAAAATGTATTTTATTTTTATTTGTATATTTTTCAATAAAACACTATTATATATTACATTTTTTACAACAAAATGTGCTTCATCAAAATTTATTAACTTATTCAAAATATTTAACTAAATCTATGACTAATAGATAAACATTAGGCAAACAAACAGGCTACCATCAGTTATTTTCGCTTCTACCACGAAAAACGACTGCTTTTGGCACACTTAGTTGAAATTTAAAAAAAAAATCAAGTTTTTTGAAATTCAATCAGGAAATCCATTTTTCGCCATTTATTTATTTAAATGTTAATTTTGAGAGGTTCCAAGAACAACTGGTTATTTTTTGCCATTTTTAAACCAATTTCAAGAAAAAACTATTGTTGGAGTAATCTATGACAATAAATAAAATAAAACTCTGACCATATGATGCGGACTTTATCTGTGACACTGTATACAGTAAATACAGGACTCATTTGCAACATAGAATATAGTTCTTATCACTTATTACATACCTTTTCCCAATATGGAAAGCAAAAAACAGACGCTGTAGGTAGTAAAGAAATACAGGATTGATATATGTACCATGTTATCATTTTAGTTTGACCCATTTTTAAAAGCTTATACTTTTTTGTTTGTCGGGTTAAAGCAGTCATTCAAAAAACATGTTGTAGCAGTTTCAGCCAAGTTTTTGCGAGTGTTGTCAAAAACGACAGTAGGTGTCACATGTCAGATTTTTAAAACTAAAAAAACTTTTTAAATGGGACACCCTGTATATTAGTAGCGCATTAGATAGCTTTGTTCGGGTTCTTGTTATTACCGATTCTGAACCATCCTAGAACTCTGCAACACATGCGCAAATGAAATAATGTCTTCATATTTCCTTCTACGCAGAAGCATCACAGTTCTAGGACGGTTCAGAATCGGTAATAACAAGAACCCGAACAAAGCTGATAAGTCCCCTTTTCTCCGAATTCAAAAATGTATCACACATTAACATTATAAACGTCATATTATGAAAAGCCTGTAGAAAATATTTCGGAAATGCATCGAAAAAGGTGGTCATGTAGAGCAATATAGATTATGAAAATGAATAACCTATAACTGTTTTTAATTCTATAGCTAGTTATTGTTCGTTAATGTGTTGTGCTACATTGATAAACAAATAACAAACATAATTTGGAAACAAAACCATTTATAAATATCTTGATTCGTTTAATTACCTAATTGTTTTTACATGCTTTTGTCAATCTTCAATTGAAATTAAGAAGAAGAATGCACATGTGTGATACATTTTTGAATTCGGAGAAAATGCGACTATCTAATGCGCTACTAATATACAGAGTGTCCCATTTAAAAAGTTTTTTTTAGTTTCAAAAATCTGACATGTGACACCTACTGTCATTTTTGACAACACTCGCAAAAACTTGGCTGAAACTGCTACAACATGCTTTTTGAATGAATTAAGCCAACAAACAAAAAAGTTATAAGCTTTTGAAAGCGGGTCAAACTAAAATGATAACCCGGTACATAATGTAAAGACAATATATGAGCAGAGATAGTGGTTCACAGTTCCTTTTAGTTCTGTGTCCCTATTGCTCTAGTTCCAGTAATTTTTTGTTACACTCGATTGGTTTTGTCTTGATATGCTAATTTTGTCACGATTGTGAACAATATCATCGGGTGTCAGCATAAACGCTCACTTCTTGCACGATTTAAAACTAAAACTTAACGGACTTACTAAAATCCGGCGATGCCCATAAAAGAAATAGAAGAAATGTCCACTTTGAAAAGTAAACCTTTTTGTCTTTTTTTAACATGTTTGAAGTTTAATTAGGGTGTATCTGCCAATATATTACACGTTAAAATTGAAATCCCCTAGAGAGGCTTGGTGCATTCTCCGCCGGTGCTGCCACCATCGGAGAATATGGTAAACAACTAGTATATACAAATACACGGGTTTAAATAGCGAGTATGCGAAAAATGTATTAATTAGTTACTCTAAAAGTGTTAGGAAGTATAATTTGTGAAAATTCTAAATATAAAAAACAATAGTAAATATTTTTATATCTTCAGAAGGTCTAACTTGTATTATCATTTATTATTCAAGTTAAAAAACTTTTTATATGAGTTCATCTATGGTAGCGAGCGTAGTTTTAATTGCCGGTTTTGCTGGTGGGACATAATTGGAGTTATTTCGGCTATAACGAAATTTTTTAAAGGTACATAATTATAATTTTAGAAGATATGTTCATAAAACATTTAATCACTAGTTGATTAAAAAAAGTATACTATTAATATTGCAAATTATATCTTATCCTCTCATAGTATCCTCTTATGTCTATTTAATTTTTTGATTATGTAATGAGCACTTTGTTTACTCACTTGTCTCGTCGAACTGCTTGAATCCATTTTTGCTTTTCATCAAATCGGTGTGAGAAACTATGAAGCTATAAAAAATTGTTTCGGGAGAATTATTGAATGTTATTGCACCCAACAACGCCTTAATTATGTTCTCCTATACGCGTTAACATTTTTTTCGGCAATTTTATTAACACTTGAAATTGTCACAACACGACGCCTAGTTCGAATTCTTTATTAAATTCTTTATCTTCACTTATTTTTTACTTTACCCGAAACAGCGTTACATCACACAAACCTCGTACCTGAGTGTTTTATAGTCTACTACTGGCACTAGCAAAAAAACTAAAATACTTAAATATTATGACAAAACCACGATTTCAATATTATTTTAATGCAATCAACATGACGCGACGGCGGCGTGAAATACATACTGATAATTTCTGATTTCTGCCGTTGAAGCGCTGCGGTCGGAATTTGTTGAAATCAACTGAAATGCACCAAGCCTATAGGATGAGTCTCAATATTTCGTAATAAGACCCCATTATTTTATTTTACAATAATTTTAAATTAATACCAATAATAATAAATGAAAATATTATGTAACTAATAGAAAATAAAAACTTTTAACTTATCCATTAACGCATAAATCATCATAATTATTTGTTATAGAGACCCTGACGCACAAACCGGAGGCGAAATTATTTTGGGCGGATCAGATCCTAACTATTATGAAGGAGATTTTACTTATCTGCCTGTAGATCGTCAAGCGTATTGGCAATTTAAAATGGATAGTGTACAAGTGGCTGATCAATCATTGTGCAAAGGCGGATGTGAAGCTATTGCTGATACCGGTAAGCGTTAAACTGTACAGTAAATATCGGATAAAAAAAATGGAAACAATGCTGATCTATTCTTCAACTATTCAAACCTTATCTGAATGTAGATATGCTAGAATATCAATTGAATATTGTTTTTTATATTGTAATGGATATAAATATATTCCATACATTCCTGTTGACATAGTTTCAACAATTCAACTTCAGCATCAATATTCAACTTCAATATCAAAGAGCTAAAAATTGGTTCTGATAATAGTTTCTTTTTTAAATAAAATCCAGTGGCGTTATCAGATTTTTGCTATTCTTTGTCATTATTTAATTACACAAAGTTATTTTTTAATGGGATAACCCGGATAACCTGTATTTTTTATATTGAAAAAAAAAACATTTGCGCTTCACCCAAAAGTAGATCTCTCATAGAATATTTTGAGCATAATTTTCCTCCAAATACTATAAAATAATAATTTGTTAAGTATTGTTGTCTTTTATTGAAAAATGGCTTTTTATTGAGCTATAAGGTATAAGAAACCCTAATACAGTTTGAAAGAGCATTTTAATACCCTTCAATTTATTTTAAAAAATTCAGGTTGTTTCATTTTAAATAACAAGGTTTTGATGTAAAATATATGTTTAAAATAGACTAGCAATTTTTGATTCCCCCTACATATTTATAAAGCAATCAAATTCTTCAGTAAGGGTTCTCTGGCTTCAAACTCAGCACAATAATTAATTCTGAAAAGTACAGGTTACAGGTTGTTGACAATCTTTTATTATGCATATATATATATATATATATATATATATATATATATATATATATATATATATATATATATATATATATATATATATATATATATATATATATATATATATATATATATATATATATATATATATATAAATATCTTAAAAACTAAAGCTTTTGAACATATTATTTAACACTTATAATAAATACATTTGAGGTCTGATGATCCAAAAATTAAAATATGAGGCGTTCCGTAAAAAAATATTTTGATGTGGATCTTAGTTCTGAAACACCCAGTATGTTTCAAAATAATTTTAAATTATTCACATTTTCTCCCCACATATACGCATAGACAAATTTGTTTCTACATCTTTCCATTTCTGTATAATCAACCAAGTCGAATGAGGTGCGCCACCCCCTGTATATACCGGGTGCGTCTCAAAAGTGGCTCACCCCTATAACTTTTTACTTTTCATTTAAAAAAAACCGAGATTTAATATGTTAATATATGACATAAATTAAGATTGATTGACGTATTCAATTGTTTTCGGCCACTTCCTGTTTCACCGGAAATGACTACAACTTTTGATTTTTAAATGGCACCCTCGGTGTTTTTTTACCTTATTCGATAGAAAATAACACTGAATAGAATGACATCGCGGTTCATAACGAAAATTTGACTCAAATACCGAGTGTGTGGTATCAAATTATTCGTAAAAAATGCCTTTTCCAAATATGATAATGAGCCACCCTCGATCCATTTGAAAAAATTGAGATATTATTAAAAATACGATTTGGGCATCTTTTATCCGGTCAGTATAAGACAATAAAAACATTGACTATCAAATCTCTTTTTTCAAGGCTCCTTGATTAAAAATTAGTATTTTTAACACAGTCATGGCACTCTAGATTGAAATTTAAAATACAATTTTGATTAAAGCGAAAATGTCAAAAGTTGACATATATTATGTCATTCTATTTAGAATGTCATTTTCTATCGAATAGGGTAAAAAAATACCGAGGTGCTATTTAAAAATCAAAAGTTGTAGTCATTTCTGGGGAAACAGGAACTAATTTATGTCATATACTAACATACCAAATCTCGTTTTTTATCTGAAAAAATAAAAAAGTGATAGGGGTGAGACACTTTTGAAACGCACCCGATATATATAGGCTCTTGTAACTAAGTTTTACTGAACTTTGTGCAATAATGGTCGTATATAAATGATATAATAAGGTTCGTTTGGTATATAAATGACTTGAATTTGAACAACTTTTAGTTCATGTTAAAGCAAATGAACCATTGTGTGAAACATTATTATATTTTAGGAACTAGCCTAATTGCTGGACCAACGGAGGAAATTGCAGCACTTAATAAAGCTATTGGTGCTTCCGCTATTGTTGGTGGAGAATATATAGTTGACTGTAATAGTATTTCATCCTTACCAAAGATTAACATTACCCTAGGCGGTAATTTATTTACCTTGGAAGGTGAAGATTATGTACTAAAAGTAAGATAAATTTATTTTATTCTATTATAAATTTTCAGAAAATACACTATAAAATACATTAATTATTTTATACACTTTACAAAATAACAATAATATGTTATTAAAATAACGGAAATACACGTTTTATGTTGTTGATATCGTTACTTGTAAACGAGAAAAGCCTATGTTATATTTACAGGGTGTTCCTTGATGACATGCTAATATTTAAGGAGGTGATTCTTGGACCTATTCTTCGGAAAAAAACTTCATGTGAATATATGTCCTAAACATTTTAACGTTTCAGATACAGGGTGGATAAATTTTCTATTTTTTTTCAAAATATATGTGATGATATATTTGATACACGTCTTCCATGCATCAAAATGCTTATTTTGATATACAAAAAAGATGTTTTATTTCTTAATTTGCTTCCAACCGATGCAGAAATGATTTCCACTCAACAGTCACCGCATCATTAGCGTAACTAGCAATTTATCCTGGGGTGGGCCTGGAGGGGCCTGGGGTTGAGCCGGGGGGCAGGGGGGGGAATAGGTGTTTTTTTTAACGAAAAATAATTAAAAAAACACATTTTTTTTTTGAATAAAACGTTTCCATGAATTTCTCTATCAATAAATTTCATAGACATGGTTATCAAACCGTGTTCCCGTAGATTACTTAAATATCTACAAATTTTCTAAAAAAAATAAAAATTAACACATTTTTTGAATACAACAAAATAATATTAACTAAACAAAACTAGAAAACGTCATTTTTACTGCATCACAAGCAATAAAAATTAATACGTAGCCAAGAGTCATAATTCAGGATTTCTCTGGGGGGCGCCCAGCATTAACTTTGGGGGGGGGGAGTGCACCCCCTCCCCCACCCCCCAGGTACTACCTGTATACCCCCTGGTACCCCTGTTGTTACGCCAATGCACTGCATCATATTTTTTTGCGATTTGACCCTGAAATAAACTGACTTGAAATTTTTTTAAGCAAATACTATGCGTCGGACGAAAAAAATTAAGAGATAAAAAAGGTTCTGAAATGAATGAAGATTTTGAAAATAATTTTTATTTTAAGTTGGGGTGTACCATTTTTTTCTCCAAAAATATTCAATGTAAAACCCGTACGTACGGTTATAAAACACTTTTTTTAGAAAAATTTACCCATCCTCTATCTCAGAAATTAAGATGTTTAGGATTTAGGACATACATTCATATAAAGTTTTTCTCTTAGAATAGACCCTAGAATCATCTTAAATATTAGCATATCATTAAGAGTCCATTTCATTAGTCTGAAAAAGTAGCAAAATAAACGTTCGGCATTTAATGTTTTATGTAAATCTGGCTAGGTATTTTTACACAAATGAAGAAGGAAATTAAAGATAAAGGATTAGGACTATATCCGTATTGTAGCACGTTTTTAGACAACTTCTTATTTTTAAGATTTTGATGGTCAAATATCAACAAAATATTCCTTATGTTTGGACTAAATTTTCTCAAAAATAAAGACAATTTAAAATTCCGTTACAATACGGAAATAGATTTCCGTTTGAACCGGAAAAAGTTTTGTGATTACAGTGATATATAATTTATATGATTTTATAACAAATTACTCGCTATTTTATGGCAAACGCTGAAGCTCTGCAAACCTTAATCAAAGTACGTGTGTTTGGAATTTTGGGTGTGGCTTAACACGAAAGGATCGGGCTAAGCCTTAGGCAGATTTCTGAAATATAATATATATTTCCTTTAGCCACAAACCCGCTTTACCCGACCCCTGAGAGCGACCCGAACAGTACAGCATAATGGACTCTTAAAGAACACCCTGTATATATTATTCATGTATTTTTGGTATCCAAATTTTTATAATTAAGAAAATAATTTATTTTTAGTATAGTATCACTAGTAAAGAGTCTATTATGTCAAGTTAAAGACAATTGATGGCCATTTATTAACTTAACTAAACACTATACATCAATTTTTTTGGTTGCAAATTAATAAACTTTTAACAATTCATTTATTTTATCTTTTTTTAAGTCATTATTTTATATTTTTTTAATTATTTCTTATAGGTATCAGAATTAGGTCAAGTGACATGCATCTCTGGCTTTCTTGGACTTGATGTACCAGCCCCTGCAGGTCCATTATGGATTTTAGGTGATGTTTTTATTGGAAAATATTATACTGAGTTTGATGCTGGCAATAACCGTGTCGGTTTTGCTACGGCAAAACGGGGTTAATTATGTTATTAATTATATTATAGTTCTTTTTGGCTGTATAACTAGATTTTTAAGCTATAGATTGAAAGATAATAAAAGTTAAATTACTACTTGATATATTACTTTGAATCCTATATGATTATAGGATAAAAACTACAAAATATCACCACGGTTGGCAAAGACGATTTCCGTGTGTATTGTCTATGACGAGTACAATTAATTCACAATGTACTGAACAAAGAATAGCAAGAATGCGAAACGCATGAGAAGGGTTGCATTATTATGTAGTTCTCAGCGATTCACTTCTAGATATGTAAATATTGGTTAATATAAGTCTCTTGCAAAGCCTGTATATAAAAAATAATTTAAAAAAATTTCTATACCTATGTGGCGGATTCATCTTTCCAAAAAAATCCTGTATGGGTATTTCGCCACTGCTGCAAGAAAATCTACGAAATAAATTACGCTGCTTGTCAGAAGTTATGTTTACGGTAATACAAATTTGCCTAACAAAGCAAAAAAAAAGCTTAACGTTTCGGAAAGTTATCTCTTTCCGTCCTCGGAAGCAAAAAAAAACAAAGAATAAAGAAAAAAACTATTTAAAATATTTAAATTCAACAATTCGAGAAGACTACTTTTTTTAAAACAGATACAATTATTTTTAATAATTATCCTATTTTTTTCAACAGAACGTCAACGGTTTCTTGTAGACGTATCTGTTTAAAAAAAAGTACAGTGTTCTCGAATAGTTGAATTTAAATAGTTTTTTTCTTTATTCTTTGTATTATTTTGCTTCCGACGACGGAAAGAGATAACTTTCCGAAACGTTAAGCATTTTTTTTTGCTTTGTTTGGCAAATTTGTATTACCGTAAACATAACTTCTGACAAGCAGCGTCCGTTTAGGTTTAACGCAGAAGTGTTTACAAGAAATAATTATTTTATAGCTAAAGCTAAAGCTTATTTTAAGCTTTAAAGCTAAATTATTCGTAGTTATGTAGGATTTGTGGTACAGATTAACATACGAAAGGTCTTCAACCCTCCGACCATGCAAACCTCCCCTAAAGGCACATTTTTTTTTCTAAATATCTCCTAATCTCCTATGCGGTTAAGTAAAAAATCCTAGTTGTGAAAAATATTGCTAAAATTATTTATAAACTGGTGTCTATAAAGGCAAAATTTTATTAAAAGTGTCGTGCAGCGAGCTTTCAAATTTTTAAATAGATTGTGTTGCTGAGAATCATGGCCTCTAAAGCAAATTATATTCTTGAATTTAGAGAATTAAAACTGAGGGAAGTTTCTGATCTCGATAATTCAGTATAAATCGATTTTTCCAGTGGCATTCAACACAAATTTAAAATGAGGAATCAGTCTCAAGATTCACAAACAATGTACAGGGTGGTCGAAATTGGTCTGTTTTAACAGAGAAACCCTATTTCGTGACTAGATAGAGCAAAACCGACATAGATGTCATGGGCTCAATTTCTGAGAAACGTTTAATGGCGTAAACCGCCTGTTGATATTTTCACCAGAGAAGAACAATCGTAGAGAACCGACAAATCGAATGCCGCCTAAAAATTTGGAGTGGGAGGTAAATCTGCTAACTGTCATCTCAACATGTTTTCGGAATATGGCCAGCGTTGCCATTGTTAATGATAAGGTCCTGAAATCTTACTATTTTTTATTTGTGTACATAATTATCTATATTTTATCCTTACCTTATACTAGTACTTAAAGAAAGAACTAACTTTCAGAACTAAATATTATTAAAACTTAAAATAGATGCAGGTTTGTTAGCGTTTAATAAAAAATAATTAGAAAATTAAAACTATTAGAAAATGAAATATTTAATAGCATATATAATATATCAGCGACGCTAATTTGAGTTGTGTTATCTTTAATATAATATGTTTTTTATGTAAAATATGATTTTTTTAATATACAGGGTGAGTCTTAAATAAGTGTAAATATTTTCAGGACTGGTAGATCTCGATAAATTAAGCATAATATTTTCTCTTTACCGTTTTTCAAAAAAAGTCCAGAATAACCGAGTTTCTTTAAAAATTAAAAAAAAATTGCTTACATTTTCAGAACCGCTAAATCTTTTCTAGGTTTTCTTTCTTGTAAATTGAATCTACCATGTATGTTCTCATATTATAAAGATATTTTGTTTTTTAATCATTTTAATTTGAATCATCTGCTGATGCACTGCAATAGTAAAGTGTTTTGGTGTATTGTGGTGAATTAGTATTTTATTTTCCTGTTGTAGCACCCCGGTTCCAACTCCAACCCTCAACTCTAATCATGTTATTTACTTTTTGGTTTGTTTTGTTGTAACGCTTGTGTTAACCAATAGTAAAGTGTTTTGGTGTATTGTGGTGAATTAGTATTTTATTTTGCTGTTGTAGCACCCCGGTTCCAACTCCAACCCTCAACTCTAATCATGTTATTTACTTTTTTGGTTTGTTTTGTTGTAACGCTTGTGTTAACAGCTGGTAAATAATCGAATTTTTCTTAAAATTGTTTAATTTGTCATTTTGATTAAAAAAAAACACTTTCTAATATAATTCCCAAGCAAACAATATTATCAGATACGATTTGAAAATACCCCTCTAAAAGGAATAGGTTAGAAAATGGTTAGAACACGGTAAATCCACAAATCGCGGAAACCAGTTAAATCTTAAAATATAGTTACTATTCAATATGATTCCTAAATATTTATAATATACTTTTTACTGAACACATGTTTTTGAGTGTATAGCTTTTCTCATTTCTTTTGCCTTAATTGAATTTCTTTCAGTATAGCTATAAACATGCGATCTCTCTCGTACGCCAATTTGAAGGTCACAAAACTTGGTCCCCCTCACTTCAATAGTGCCGACGGTTTTTGTCGCTTCTCTACGATTGTTCTTCTCTGTTTTCACTGCCAACCGAGATGCATGGTCTTTTTGAATTTTTTACCATTTTGAAAATTGCCCATAACTTTTGTATTTCGCGGAATAATACAATTCGGTAAAAACGTTCTTAAGGCATTTTTTAACCACATCCAATGGCGTAGTCAGTTTTTTTCTATGCTTGTTCTTTTTATCGGAAATAATGAAAAATATAATTTTTTAAATGGAAATCACAGTTGGCTATGAACTTAAAAAAATGCTGGCGTTTAACCCATTCCAACGATATAAAGTTAAGGGTATCTATTTCTAAGAACGAGAGAAATATTAGGTTTTTTATTTTTCGAAATGGGCCTTTATTTTGTGTAGACCTATTTGCCTAATTCTTTTTTATCACAATTTAATCTATATTATTATTTATCTGCATAACTAAAGACTTTTGAAAAGGTAAATTAACACTCTATATTAGTATTAGCCTTGTATATGAATTTTTAACACATAACGTTATATCGTTGGAAAGGGTAAAACGCCAGCATTTTTTTTAAATTCACAGCCAACTATGATTTCCATTTAAAAAATTATATTTTTTATTATTTCTGACAAAAAGAGCAAGCATAGAAAAAACTGACTACGCCACTGGATTGTGCTTTAAAAAGTTCCTTAAGAACGTTTTTACAGAATTTTATTATTCCGCAGGTTTAGGGGATTTTGTTCTACAAGGCACCTTGATTGCTCTAACTATATCTAAAGTACACCGTTTTAAAGTTATTTAAAATCACCAGAAATTATAGAATATCGAATTAAAAGTTTACAGACTCATATTAATTATCTCAATAAGGATCTGAAAAATTTCTATTTATAACAAGATTAACAACTAGTTGCCCATGCAATAAATACCAGAAAGAGTTCTCATAACTTGCTAAATTTTTATCAAAAATGTAGCACCACTACACAATATCAAAATAATATTAACGAAGTTAGACTAGCGATAATTAGATTTGAATAATTATTGATAAATATCAAAACGATTAATTCTGTCAGTAAGTAGTCAGTGCCGAAGTTAAAGAAGTTTGGCTAGTAATAATTCATAATCTTTGAATTATTGTTGTTACATTTATATAAAAATAAAATCAGACAATATTAAATCGATTAACTTTAGTTTTCTACCATTTAGTCGACTATATAGAAAACCAATTACCGGTAGCGGCTACACAGGTAACTTTTAATCCATAAGTATATTTGGAGATTTTTTATTTTTTCTTTCCGTGATAAAATGTTACCTAAAACTCAAAATTTGTTTGTGACACCTTTAATAGTACCTTAGAATTAAGATCAGCGCTCATCCTAAAATACTCCAGCTGTAACTAGAAAAAATCAAGAAAAACATATGAAGGGTGCAGGGAAAAAGAGGCCAGAGACCACTTTTGACAAAATTTGGGTAAAAGCGCCATCTTGTATTTTTCGATCCAAATTTTCTCACAGCACGGTCAGTTTTGCAGAGCACGGTCAATGCTATGCACAGCAAAAATGATCAGGGTCCAAAATATGGCAAGCGTTCCCGAACAGAAAAGATCAAAGTCTATAATGTGTTGTGAAAAACAACCATACCTGGACTCTGATCGTAAGTACGATACATTACCCGAGAAAAAAATTGGAGAATCACCTACAAAAAGAAATAAGATCCCATCTAAGATATATAATATAAAAAATGCCGTCTTGTAACCCTATTCTTCCACTACAAAAAGTTGTGATATCTCATGTAGAACCAAGTCGGTTTATTTCATTTAGTTTCTATTGAAGCACGTATTCAACAATTGCCTGTAATGTCGTTTAGCCTCGCCACATAAAGTATTCTTAAGGCAGGCGGCCACTGCGAGCGAAATTAAACTAAGCTAAGAATATAAAAAGAAACGGTCTAAACGAAAATAAGTTTCATCGGCTACTGGGAACGATTTTTGCTTAGTAGTCAGCTAAGTTAGCTGCCTTTTCGTATTGTCTCTCCACTATCAGAATTAATCGCTGCGAAAAATTCGCTGGAACCTGTCACAAACTAAAACGAAGGAAACTAAACTACGATTTGAATCTTCGTTTAATTTCGCTCAAGTGGCCGCTGATGCATTTAAAAGTATGGAAGCTGATTTTTACAAATCTTATCTTCGCTTGACTTAGTTTAGTTTGGCTCGCAGTGGCCGCCTGCCTTTACTCCTAATTCCTAATAAAACAATA